AGCTCGGGGACGTGACCTACTGCTGTGAGCGGCAGATCCGCAAGTGGGCGCGGCGGACGCGGTGTGGGGTGGTCCTGCAGCTCGTCGAAACGCGTCGGACGCCGCTGATTATCACGCGCGTCGGGGATGAGGGGGTCCGGCTGGAGTATGAGTGGGTCGTCCAGCTCCCGCAAAAGGCCGAGCGCGTCGACGTCGCCGCGTTGAGTGATGAGCTCTGGGATTATGGGAATGCCATGGCAAAGGCGCTGGAGGAGGGGATGGAGAGTTTGATGGCGCATTCCATGCCCGTCTCAGCTTCGTTTTTTTAATCGGACGTTCAGATGGGTATAATTTTTTAAAGAAGGGGGTGGGTGAGTTCTCTTTCTGAAGGTTTAAGGGGATTATCTCGTAAAGCGGTGCAGAGGATTGTATTGCCTAACGAATGGAAACATCTCTTGGGGGTGCTAGGGATGATGGGGTAGACGCGGACCCACAGATTGCCGCACGTCAAAGGAGGTATCGAAGGGAAGTGGAGTTCTATTCCTTTCTGTAATGTCGCAAATATCGACATGTCTTTTGTTGTCATCACACGTTTTGGCTTCTTTTCTACCTTTCAACGTGGGGGACGACGTCTTGCCATGACGTTGAGGAAGGCGGCGCCATCAAGGTTCTGTCTACTGCCACTCACACATCGATATATATATATATATATATATGTATATGTATATATCCATTTTTGCCATCTATGCTTTCATCAGCTCGATTATTACTATCAGAATGAGCTTCACAGAACAATTATATGGAAAATGTTGATTAGAAAATCAGAACCTGTATGCCTTTTCTCGATTCCTTTATATTTCCATTCGTTAATACACACCCTTTGGGCTAAGCCACACATTGATGAATGCTATTGGTATCTACGGAAGCTCATGCAGAACTTCGTTTATTTGCCTTTTCGATTATTGTGTTTTGTCAGTAATATGTTCGAGTATGAATCTATCGTAGTGTTAACTGTAAGTGAAAATTGAAGAACAACGTCAAGATTTTACTGCAACCGCATCTTTACAGAGCGAAAAAGCATTTCTACGCATGCATTTTTTGCACCAAACCTTTTCCATGAACATTATTATGTTTCCAAATACATCTATCAACTACTTTTTTTTGCCTTCCCTTTACTCTTTTCATTATCCACACAACTGCAATTTTTTTCCATAACCAAAGATTTACCATTCATATTATTCTGCTTTAGGACATTTAGTTTTTTTTGACAAGTAATATATTCACAACTATAAACTGTTAAGACGAATTTTTATTTGCCATTTCCAATAATTTGCCTATTTAAGTCATCAATACTAATGATAAAAAGAACAATTAGTAGAAACGTGATCACCATTTTATGCATTTAGTTTAAATTTATGATTTTTACAAGACAGACGGCAAAAAGGAATTCAACCAAGCACAAAGAGTTTACAGATTAGCTAATTGACTTTTTTCAAAACCGAATAGGTTCTGTTGTGCTCCTTTATTCGTATTGATAGATAAAAAAGGGAAACCTTGAAGCTCAGACATTATTCATTTCGATTTATTTGGCGTGAGTACACCCTTCTTTTTGCGCATTCGTACTAATATACATAGATATATGTATATGATAACACATATATTCTGACCACGGAAGGGATAGTCGATTTGCAAAAAAAAAAAGATAAAAAAAAAGAAAACCCCTAAACCATCATTCCACCATGCCTCCCAAAGCTGGACCGAGGCCTGGAGCCCGCAAAGGCCACCCCAGCCTGACTATCGCGCAGCTCAAACAGTCCATGCAGCTTCGCCAACAAGAGGAGGAGCGGCTTAAAAAAGAAGCGGAGGAAAAAGAAGCAAGGCTACGCGAGGAAGAGCGATTGGCAAAAGAGCAGTTTAAATTTGAGGAGGAGCAGCGCGCCCGCGAGCGGGAGCGCCGGAAAGAAGAAATGCGTTTGCTTCGCAAGGATAAAGCGAGTTCGAATCAGGGCGTGCTCGATCGAATGCGGGCCGCCGGATTTATTCTGCCCGATGTGGACAGAATTCGAAAGGAGGAGGCCGATGAGAAGTTGAAGGAGGTTAAGGCGCCCAAGAAGCCGAAACCACAACTGCAGGATATGATAAAGCTGAACGCGGCGGCTCACCCGCCCTCGGAGGATTCTGAGGATGAAATCAGCGAAGGCGAACGAACAGTCCCGACGGACTCGGACGATGAGCTGAGCGAGGATGATTGGGAGGCCATGGAGGACCGCGATGAGCGCCGGACCAAACGCCATCTCAACAACGAGCGAATTCGCTCCGAGCGCCTCACCCGTCGGGCGGCGCTGGAAAAAGAACGCCAAGCGAAACGGGATCAAAATCACGTCCTGGAAAATGTTATAAATCTCCGCTCGCCCATTTGTTGTGTTCTCGGGCATGTGGATACGGGCAAAACGAGCCTGCTCGATCGGATTCGCTCCACAAACGTGCAGGGCGGTGAGGCCGGAGGCATCACGCAGCAAATCGGTGCCACATTCTTCCCCCGCGAGGCCCTCGTCGCCGCGACGAAAGATTTGAATGAGCGGTATAATTACAAACTTAACGTGCCCGGGATTCTCGTGATTGACACCCCCGGACATGAATCTTTCACCAATCTGCGAAATCGCGGCAGCAGCCTCTGCGATATCGCAATCGTCGTGATCGACCTCATGCACGGGCTGGAGCAGCAGACTCGTGAATCCTTTCGCCTGCTTCGCGAGAAAAAATGCCCTTTTATTGTCGTGGTGAATAAAGTCGATCGATTATACGGCTGGGTGGCCAACCCCAACGAGGATATCCAGCAAACCCTCGAAAAGCAACCTCGCAATGTCCGCATCGAGTTCGAAACGCGCGTCGGGGAGGTCAAAACGCAGCTCGCAATGGAGGGCTTCAACTCGGAGCTGTACTACAAAAATACGGACTTCCGCAAGACCGTCTCCATCGTCCCCACCTCTGCGCACACTGGGGAAGGGATTTCCGACTTAATTCTTCTCGAGATCGAGCTCGTTCAGCAGTTCATGGAGGCCAAAATGACCTACAAAGATGACCTGCAGTGCACGGTGCTGGAGGTGAAGCCGATCACCGGGTATGGTTTCACCATCGACGTCATTCTCATCAACGGGGAACTGCACGAGGGAGATCAAATATGCCTTTGCGGGCAAAACCAGCCCATTTTTTCGCAAATTCGCTCCCTGCTCACCCCGCAGCCGATGCGCGAAATGCGTGTGAAGGCGGAGTACACCCATCGGAAGATGGTTAAGGCGGCGATGGGGGTGAAAATCGCGGCGAACGACCTCGAGTACGTCGTCCCGGGCACCCCTTTGTTGGTTTACCACCACGAGGACGAGAAGGAAAAGGTCGCCGAGCTCGTCATGACGGACTCCACCACCATTCGCAGCCAGCTCAACGAAGATGGGATCGGGGTTACCGTGCAGAGCAGCACCCTCGGTGGCCTCGAGGCCCTTCTTTCTTTTTTAAAAGATATGAAAATTCAGGTCGGGCATGCCGCGATCGGGCCCATTCACAAACGACATCTCATCCAGGTGCTGTCGATGAAGCGTCAGGAGCCGCGTTTTGCCGTCGTGCTCGCGTTTGATGTGGTCGTCTCCGACGAGGCCCGCGAAGTCGCCGCGAAGAATGAAATCACAATCTTCGAGGCCAACGTGATTTACCACCTCTTCGACAAGTTTACCGAGTATATCGAAGGCTACGAGGCGCGGGAGAAGGACCGGCTGCGAAATATCGCGGTGTTCCCGGTTCGACTGAAGATTATCGACAACGCCATCCACGCGACCGATCCGATTATTTTGCCGGTGCTGGTCGAGCGAGGGCAGCTTCGCGTCGGAACGCCGCTCTGCGCGTTGATCGGGGAAAATGTGGTGCCGATTGGTAAGGTGATGAGCATTGAGCGTGAAAAAAAAACCGTCCCGATCGGTAAACCTGGAATGGAGCTTTCAGTGAAGATTAATACAGGTGATTCCGGCGTGACCTTCTCCCGTCAGTTCAACAAAGATCACGTGATCGTCTCGAAAATCACGCGACCCTCTGTGGATGCCGTGAAGAAGTTCAAGGATGAGCTGACGGAGGATGATGTCATTCTGCTTGCTACCCTAATCAAGGTATTTAAAGTGCCGAAATAAGCGGAAGGAAGTGAAAGAGGAAGAAGGTCGTGGAGAGGAATAATTTCGCTATAAAAGTAGGAGTGAAAATATCACGGATAGAATTGTTTCAAGAGGAAAAATGCTGTTGGTATAAACATATTGGGATGAGGGAAAGAAAAACACGACAGATTGACTATATTCCTTGCTTCTTGAAGTTTTTAGTTTTCATTTCGTTTTTTATCACTTTTTTTTTGCTTTCCGACTGATACCTACGAAAGGTCCGGTTTGCCACCACCGCGAAGAGGGTTCAGAAACCCTTCCCGTGCTTATTTCGTGTCAAAACAAATGCAAATTATTAGTTATGGTCTGTGCGATATATTTTTGTGATGTAAAGTGTAATTAATGACACGTTAAAAGGAAAAAATAATAATAAATGGAAAGATTAAGCGGTTGTCTAAAATTTATAAATGCGACTTAAGTTTTATATTAACTTTATTTTGAAAGCGTTACTTTTTCTCTAAAGCGAAATTATAAATGTTAAAAGATTTACTTTAATTCTGAGGATAATTCTGATCCTTTTGAATCAGTGATTCTAATCTGCGTTAATGTTTTACCAATACTTCGATTGAGAGTAGAATTATGCTTAGAGGACAACTTTTCAGATTTAAATACGTAGTGGTACTTTATATATTTTGAAATTGAATATGCTCCCCATTTCATTTTATTCCATCTATATGTCATCATTACTATTAACGCTTTTCCCTCTTTTTTAGTATAGAAAGATTACTAATTCCGTTTAGTGTGCAAGAGATACTTTGAAAGTCAATCCATAGATTAGTCGAATTAAAAATCAATAAACATAAACTGAGATCGTAAAGCTGAACAACGCAAACTAAATATTGATAGATATATTTCTAGAGTGAACCTTCTAGAAGCAGATCTATATCAATCCATGTATGGCATCTCATGTGATGAACAAGACGTATTCAGAGCCTACGGTGATAAAAGGGGCTGAATTCGCCTCCTCTTATAATGCTGGCTATCCTCATCTTCGCCTACGTCATTTCTTTAACGCGATGGAGCATGCCGACCGGGTCGTCCAGGCCTGCGTGTGGGATGACGGCGGGGCGGAGTTCGTCTTCGGAGACGGGTCCGTGCTTTCATTTGCTGATGAGATGAACACTTTTGTCGCGCTCAGTCCGCTCATGGAAGATGGAAAAATAAGCGGAAACCACGATCAGGGCCGCAGGAATCAAACTCACTCCCATGGAAGCAGTACGGAAAACGTGAAAGGGGATTCCGCTTTCTTTCCATCCCATCCCCCCGCGAAAGGGGACGTATTGGTGGAGCGGGATATGTTTTTCACGGCGTGGACTCTCTCCAAGTACGTCGAGAAGGTGAAAAACGCGCTACATCTATACAATAGTTATTCCCAACATCCTCGCCTTATTATGGGGCTGACGAAAAGCCCCTGCCATCTCTGGCGCTCTCAAAGCCCGATAAACATTCTTCTCATCACCAAAAACCGCGTCTACTTCGAGCGGCGCCGCGTGCTTGCCAAGTTCGTCACCTCTGCCATTCCCACCATAGGCCCTGCGGGGGAGAATTCTCACAGGGAAATTGCCAAAGAAGGCGAAATAAAAGGTGAGGGAAAGGAGGAATTTCGACGTCAGGGGAAGGCTCTTGCGGTGGTTGGTGTGCAGCTCACGTTGTGGTGCGCCCTACGCCGCGTCTCCTTGACCGTCCACGCGAGCCGCGCGACGTTTAGTGTGCGGTGGCCCGCCTCCGTCAGCCGTCCGAACGGCGCGCCGCCGATTTTCATCTCCACCGCGCAGCTTCTCGCGGAGGAGGAATGGGATGAGGGGAGGGAAACGCCGAAAAGAGGGGATTTTTCCGCCTCATCGCTTCCGATTCACCGCGCGGCGCCGTTTACATGGGTCGAGCAGTCCTTCCCAGTCGCACAGCCGCCGCCATCGTGGGCGGAAATGCTCAAGATTTGCCTCGATCTCGACGAGGAGGTGCCAGCTGGCGAGTGTTATTGCGAAGACGAACCCGAAGATGACGATCGCCATGTCCATAGCGAAGAAAGTTTCCCTGGCAAAGGAGAAGGAAGTCAAGAGCCGCCTCCGCTTGATTTCGAGCTGCCCGCTACCGCCGTTTCCTCCACTCTTGCCTGTCGTTTCTCTCGCGCTCTCCCGGAGCATCGCGCCCCTCTCGTCGCGGCCGGTCGCCATGTGCAATGGGCCGCCTGCAATCGCGAGATTCACGGCCAAACGGCGCGGGTGGTCTGGCGTGTCGACACGGACTGCACGGGGCGCGAACCCCATGCCGTGTTTTGGTGCTTAAACCCGAGCAAAAACGACGCGAACGACGAAGACGAGCATGCAAGGAGTAGTTATAGCCACTCCATGGTGCTCGCGGCAGTATGCGAGGATCATAGTGTGGTGTGGACCGAGCCGCAGTGGCGGGGGTATGCGCTACGACACCTCCGTTGTGATGGATCGCTTCGGTCTTATCATATCAGCGCAGACGGTGAGATCTCCCTCCCACCCGTCATCGGTCCCCTTCTCCTCACCACTAGAATAAAGGGAGGAGCCGAAGAAAACTACGGTGCATCACCTTCCGAGGGAGAGGAATGGAAGCACAACAGCTCGCATGCCGTGTTTGGCTCGGATATGCTTTCCATTTTCGTCGAGTACTCCAGTGACCACTGTGCGGGTGCTCATCCCTTCGTTGGGATGACAGGCGAGCTTACTGATACCCCCTTCCATGCGCATGGACGTTATCTGATCCCGCTCGGCAACGCGGCGATTCAACTTTCACAGTGGAATCTCGCCGCCTCGCGGGCGGGGGCGGAAAGCGGGGTTGAACGCGTCTCAGGTGTCTACCGCCGTGCGCACCCCTCAACCACGCAAGAGGAGGCGATCCTGGCGGAGGCCACGGACGCCTCCGCGTTTCGTCCACTCCCTAGTGCCTACCCCACTCTACAATCCGCCGCGGAGGACGGATCGGTGGTCTTCCTGAGCACCCATCTTGAGGGTGTCGGCAGCTTCACCGCGCTCACCAACGGCGTCGTGCGCTGCCTTTTTGACGACCGCACCATTCTCCATCTCAT